GTAGGCACCTGACAGCCCCTCAGCAGCGCTCTCGACCACAAGAGATCTCCCTGTCGGCACCCCCCACTACCTCATGGGGGCTCCACACGGCCGTCAGGACAGCCCATGCCCAAAATGGGATCAGAGGACGGACTGAGCACACAACACACGCACAAGGCAAAAAAGGCACACAAGGCACACCTGCCCCTTCCCTCCTGCCCCTTGCCATACCCGCCCGAGCAAAAGCATGCACTGCCTGCCCACCACGCAGCAAAAGAAAAGCCTACAGCACCCGGTATTCCCAGGCGGTCTCCCATCCAAGTACTAACCGGGCCCGACCCTGCTTAGCTTCCGAGATCAGACGAGATCGGGCGCTCTCAGGGTGGTATGGCCGTAGGCACCTGACAGCCCCTCAGCAGCGCTCTCGACCACAAGAGATCTCCCTGTCGGCACCCCCCACTACCTCATGGGGGCTCCACACGGCCGTCAGGACAGCCCATGCCCAAATGGGATCAGAGGACGGACTGAGCACACAACACAGGCACAAGGCAAAAAAGGCACACAAGGCACACCTGCCCCTTCCCTCCTGCCCCTCGCCATGCCCGCCAGAGCAAAAGCACTCCCCGCCTGCCCACCACGCAGCAAAAGAAAAGCCTACAGCACCCGGTATTCCCAGGCGGTCTCCCATCCAAGTACTAACCGGGCCCGACCCTGCTTAGCTTCCGAGATCAGACGAGATCGGGCGCTCTCAGGGTGGTATGGCCGTAGGCACCTGACAGCCCCTCAGCAGCGCTCTCGACCACAAGAGATCTCCCTGTCGGCACCCCCCACTACCTCATGGGGGCTCCACACGGCCGTCAGGACAGCCCATGCCCAAAATGGGATCAGAGGACGGTCTGAGCACACAACACACGCACAAGGCAAAAAAGGCACACAAGGCACACCTGCCCCTTCCCTCCTGCCCCTTGCCATACCCGCCCGAGCAAAAGCATGCACTGCCTGCCCACCACGCAGCAAAAGAAAAGCCTACAGCACCCGGTATTCCCAGGCGGTCTCCCATCCAAGTACTAACCGGGCCCGACCCTGCTTAGCTTCCGAGATCAGACGAGATCGGGCGCTCTCAGGGTGGTATGGCCGTAGGCACCTGACAGCCCCTCAGCAGCGCTCTCGACCACAAGAGATCTCCCTGTCGGCACCCCCCACTACCTCATGGGGGCTCCACACGGCCGTCAGGACAGCCCATGCCCAAAATGGGATCAGAGGACGGACTGAGCACACAACACACGCACAAGGCAAAAAAGGCACACAAGGCACACCTGCCCCTTCCCTCCTGCCCCTCGCCATGCCCGCCAGAGCAAAAGCACTCCCCGCCTGCCCACCACGCAGCAAAAGAAAAGCCTACAGCACCCGGTATTCCCAGGCGGTCTCCCATCCAAGTACTAACCGGGCCCGACCCTGCTTAGCTTCCGAGATCAGACGAGATCGGGCGCTCTCAGGGTGGTATGGCCGTAGGCACCTGACAGGCCCTCAGCAGCGCTCTCAACCACAAGACATCAGCCTCGATGTCAACCCCACGATGTCACAAAGGCTCCACACGGCTCTCAGGACAGCCCATGCCCACAACGGAATCTGGAGAGAGACTGAGCACACAACACACGCACAAGGCAAAAAAAGGCAAAAAAGGCAAAAAAGGCACACCTGCCCCTTCCCTCCTGCCCCTCGCCATGCCCGCCAGAGCAAAAGCACGCCCCGCCTGCCCACCACGCAGCAAAAGAAAAGCCTACAGCACCCGGTATTCCCAGGCGGTCTCCCATCCAAGTACTAACCGGGCCCGACCCTGCTTAGCTTCCGAGATCAGACGAGATCGGGCGCTCTCAGGGTGGTATGGCCGTAGGCACCTGACAGCCCCTCAGCAGCGCTCTCGAGCACAAGACATCAGCCTCGATGTCAACCCCACGATGTCACAAAGGCTCCACACGGCCCTCAGGACAGCCCATGCCCACAACGGAATCTGGAGAGAGACTGAGCACACAACACAGGCACAAGGCAAAAAAGGCACACAAGGCACACCTGCCCCTTCCCTCCTGCCCCTCGCCATACCCGCCCGAGCAAAAGCATGCACTGCCTGCCCACCACGCAGCAAAAGAAAAGCCTACAGCACCCGGTATTCCCAGGCGGTCTCCCATCCAAGTACTAACCGGGCCCGACCCTGCTTAGCTTCCGAGATCAGACGAGATCGGGCGCTCTCAGGGTGGTATGGCCGTAGGCACCTGACAGCCCCTCAGCAGCGCTCTCGACCACAAGAGATCTCCCTGTCGGCACCCCCCACTACCTCATGGGGGCTCCACACGGCCGTCAGGACAGCCCATGCCCAAAATGGGATCAGAGGACGGACTGAGCACACAACACACGCACAAGGCAAAAAAGGCACACAAGGCACACCTGCCCCTTCCCTCCTGCCCCTCGCCATGCCCGCCAGAGCAAAAGCACTCCCCGCCTGCCCACCACGCTGCAAAAGAAAAGCCTACAGCACCCGGTATTCCCAGGCGGTCTCCCATCCAAGTACTAACCGGGCCCGACCCTGCTTAGCTTCCGAGATCAGACGAGATCGGGCGCTCTCAGGGTGGTATGGCCGTAGGCACCTGACAGGCCCTCAGCAGCGCTCTCAACCACAAGACATCAGCCTCGATGTCAACCCCACGATGTCACAAAGGCTCCACACGGCTCTCAGGACAGCCCATGCCCACAACGGAATCTGGAGAGAGACTGAGCACACAACACACGCACAAGGCAAAAAAGGCACACAAGGCACACCTGCCCCTTCCCTCCTGCCCCTCGCCATACCCGCCCGAGCAAAAGCAATCCCCGCCTGCCCACCACGCTGCAAAAGAAAAGCCTACAGCACCCGGTATTCCCAGGCGGTCTCCCATCCAAGTACTAACCGGGCCCGACCCTGCTTAGCTTCCGAGATCAGACGAGATCGGGCGCTCTCAGGGTGGTATGGCCGTAGGCACCTGACAGCCCCTCAGCAGCACTCTCGACCACAAGAGATCTCCCTGTCGGCACCCCCCACTACCTCATGGGGGCTCCACACGGCCGTCAGGACAGCCCATGCCCAAAATGGGATCAGAGGACGGACTGAGCCCACAACACAGGCACAAGGCAAAAAAGGCACACAAGGCACACCTGCCCCTTCCCTCCTGCCCCTCGCCATGCCCGCCAGAGCAAAAGCACTCCCCGCCTGCCCACCACGCTGCAAAAGAAAAGCCTACAGCACCCGGTATTCCCAGGCGGTCTCCCATCCAAGTACTAACCGGGCCCGACCCTGCTTAGCTTCCGAGATCAGACGAGATCGGGCGCTCTCAGGGTGGTATGGCCGTAGGCACCTGACAGGCCCTCAGCAGCGCTCTCAACCACAAGACATCAGCCTCGATGTCAACCCCACGATGTCACAAAGGCTCCACACGGCTCTCAGGACAGCCCATGCCCACAACGGAATCTGGAGAGAGACTGAGCACACAACACAGGCACAAGGCAAAAAAGGCACACAAGGCACACCTGCCCCTTCCCTCCTGCCCCTCGCCATACCCGCCCGAGCAAAAGCATGCACTGCCTGCCCACCACGCAGCAAAAGAAAAGCCTACAGCACCCGGTATTCCCAGGCGGTCTCCCATCCAAGTACTAACCGGGCCCGACCCTGCTTAGCTTCCGAGATCAGACGAGATCGGGCGCTCTCAGGGTGGTATGGCCGTAGGCACCTGACAGGCCCTCAGCAGCGCTCTCGACCACAAGACATCAGCCTCGATGTCAACCCCACGATGTCACAAAGGCTCCACACGGCCCTCAGGACAGCCCATGCCCACAACGGAATCTGGAGAGAGACTGAGCACACAACACAGGCACAAGGCAAAAAAGGCACACAAGGCACACCTGCCCCTTCCCTCCTGCCCCTTGCCATACCCGCCCGAGCAAAAGCATGCACTGCCTGCCCACCACGCAGCAAAAGAAAAGCCTACAGCACCCGGTATTCCCAGGCGGTCTCCCATCCAAGTACTAACCGGGCCCGACCCTGCTTAGCTTCCGAGATCAGACGAGATCGGGCGCTCTCAGGGTGGTATGGCCGTAGGCACCTGACAGCCCCTCAGCAGCGCTCTCGACCACAAGAGATCTCCCTGTCGGCACCCCCCACTACCTCATGGGGGCTCCACACGGCCGTCAGGACAGCCCATGCCCAAAATGGGATCAGAGGACGGACTGAGCACACAACACACGCACAAGGCAAAAAAGGCACACAAGGCACACCTGCCCCTTCCCTCCTGCCCCTTGCCATACCCGCCCGAGCAAAAGCATGCACTGCCTGCCCACCACGCAGCAAAAGAAAAGCCTACAGCACCCGGTATTCCCAGGCGGTCTCCCATCCAAGTACTAACCGGGCCCGACCCTGCTTAGCTTCCGAGATCAGACGAGATCGGGCGCTCTCAGGGTGGTATGGCCGTAGGCACCTGACAGCCCCTCAGCAGCGCTCTCGACCACAAGAGATCTCCCTGTCGGCACCCCCACTACCTCATGGGGGCTCCACACGGCCGTCAGGACAGCCCATGCCCAAAATGGGATCAGAGGACGGACTGAGCACACAACACACGCACAAGGCAAAAAAGGCACACAAGGCACACCTGCCCCTTCCCTCCTGCCCCTCGCCATACCTTCCCGAGCAAAAGCACGCCCCGCCAGCCCACCACGCAGCAAAAGAAAAGCCTACAGCACCCGGTATTCCCAGGCGGTCTCCCATCCAAGTACTAACCGGGCCCGACCCTGCTTAGCTTCCGAGATCAGACGAGATCGGGCGCTCTCAGGGTGGTATGGCCGTAGGCACCTGACAGGCCCTCAGCAGCGCTCTCAACCACAAGACATCAGCCTCGATGTAAAGCCCACGATGTCACAAAGGCTCCACACGGCCGTCAGGACAGCTCATGCCCACAACGGAATCTGAAGAGAGACTGAGCCCACAACAGAGGCACAAGGCAAAAAAGGCACACAAGGCACACCTGCCCCTTCCCTCCTGCCCCTCGCCATACCCGCCCGAGCAAAAGCACGCCCCGCCTGCCCCCTGCCCGGCACGCAGCAAAAGAAGCCTACAGCACCTGGTATTCCCAGGCGGTCTGCCATCTATGTACTAACCACGCCGATGCTGTTTATCTTCTGAGACTTCATTGCCTTTCATTAGTTGCTTCTGTAGTCATAGTCTTAGTAGTGCGGGCTGTTTTTCAATTTGCTTAGTTGCCGTTGCGAAGGTACTGAGGAATCTAATGTCGCTTTTTCGTGTCTGAGGACCGTTCGGACCGTTCTCCGAGTAGCCCTCTGCGGAGTGCAGTCGGGTAGCTCAGCGTGCCTGGCAGCGCCGGGCTGCCCTGGTTTGGCGGGAACCGGGTGCGTTTGGAATGGGCGAATGCCATTGGTGAACGTGATGCCAGCCGGTCGCCATTGGCCGATCCATTGCCTGCCGCGTGCTGCGATTGGCTGCGATTGGTGGCGCTTGACGTCCCCAGGTGAGATTTCCCTCCCCTGCCCCCGAGTCCCTACCCCGGCACTGCAGACTCTGCTTCGGTCCTGCAGTCCCTATCGCGCCCCTATAGGCCCTTCCCTAGCCCTACGGACCCTATCCCGGCTCACAGTCATTATTACACCCACAAGACCTTCCCCTGCCCAACTGTCCCTACCTTGGCCCACAGTCTTTATTCTGGACCACAATCCCTCCCCCAGCCCACAGATTGTACCCTAAACCACAGCCCATATTCTGGCCCCACAGTGCCAATTCCAACCCTACAATCACTATCCTAGCCCTACACTTACTATCCCAACCCTACAGTGATTTCCCCTGCAGTCCTATAGTCACTATCCCAACATCACAGTGATTCCATCTCCAGTCCCACACTCCATCTCTGCATTTTCTCAGTTCTTCCAGGTGAAGCTTCTCCTTCTTGTTGTGGAAGGATCTCCAGTTTCGTTCCAGATATGTGAGGTTTCAACTTCAACTCTAGAATCCATATTCCAAACCCAGCCTGAAAAAATTTATTTTTCCAGTTCTAGCTCCCAGTTGCTATCCCAGTCCTATAGTGATTTCAGCTCCATCCCTGAAGTTGCATTGTAGCCCAACAATCCCTGTACCAGCCCTACAGTCCTTATCCCACCCTGCAGTCATTTCAGCTCCATCCTTTTATTTCTCTGCCAGCTCCACTGCTTCAGATTCAGTTCCTGCATCTTCCCACCACTTCCATATGAAGCTGCTCATGAATCAGGGCTGGATCTTCTTTTCACATCCATCTCTCTCATGCTTCAGTCCAGCTCTAGAATTGACATTCCAGCTCCAGCCTGTCACAGGTGGGAGTAGTAACTTCAGACAAAGTTTATTTAAGAAGCCCTCCCATTGTATCACAAGGTGCAGAAAAGTATTCCCTTGCTTTCTAAAATCCTCAGAGAGAGGAGCCTGGGGCAGCTGGATCCAATCCCAGCCCCGGAGACTTTGCCAACAATTCAAGTTTTACAACTTTTTCCCACAGGTTTTAATGACAGTGAATCAGAGATATTTTTGAAGAATGAATTATTTATTATGATAAATTATTAGACAAAAATAATCAGAATTATTTACTACACACTATGAAAGATAAAATGATTATAATACAAGATAGGATAGTGCATTATATCAAAGCAATATTGAAGCAATTATATTAAAGCTAGCAAAAAGAAACCATTATTAGAGACTGATGTAACTCACCCATACCAATAACTGTGGACAAATCACTTTCTTCTAACCTTTAGGAGTATCCTTGGTGACTATCCCTAAAACCCAATGGAAGAATCTTCACATTCTCCAAGGAGGAATATATTACTAGAACCTACTACACGGAAAGTAGACTGCACTTTTATAGCATGAATGAGGTGACCACCAGTGATATGCCTACAGGTCAGTTTAGCAGTTTATCTGCCAAATCTTTTTCTTGTTATCAGCAGGCTGAGTTGAGGCTAATCTACCAGACTGAGATAGTGTGCCAAATTTTTAGCATGATTCAACACCAGAAACCAATGCACATTATGCCCCTCTCAGCTCACTGTTGGTAGCTTGCAAAATAGGGCATTGTTTGAATTGTTTGACCACTTTTCAGGGCTAAGCATACTGTTATACAGCCCTACAGTCCCTATCCCAGCCCCAGCCCCAGCCCCAGCCCCACAGTGATTCTACTCCCAGACACATGGGATTTATCCAGCTCCAGAGTTTTCATTGCTTCACATCGGCTTGGGTCTGGATTTAGCCCCAGGGCCTTCAATATATCCTCTGGCCTCACAGCAACAGCCCTATAATTTTTATTTCAAAAACAGCATATATCTAGTAATAGGATAAAATAAAAATATGACAATGCAACAGTATAAATAAATCTTAATACAACTAGAATAATGTAAAACTAAGAGAATAAATAAGAAATTAGACTCAGTAGAAAATAAATGTGGATCTACACCCAAACTGATGTGAAGCAATGGAAATGAAGAGGCTGGAGGTGGATAAATCCCATGGGGAAGGGGATGGAGCTGAAGTTTGGGAGCTGCAGGAGATGCCAGGGCGGGTTCCAGCCCTCCCAGCAATGGCACCACCCACAAACTGGGAGTGGGGGTCTCAGGGCTGATCCTGAGGCTCAGAGCCAGCCCAGGGGCACCTTCTGGGGTGTGGAACCAGGGACCGAGCTGCTCTTTCCAGCACCTAATGCTGGCTGAGGGGCCTGTGCACAGGTGGGCTGCAGGGCAAGGTGTGTGCTGCAGGCCAGGGCTCATTTGCCCCCAAAGTCGGGGCCCCATTGGGATGAGCTTGGCAGCTCATAGAGATATGTAAGTGATGACAGCTACTGACTCATTGCCTTGTCAACAGCACAGGAACAAAGTGACAACCAGGAGCAGCTTTTAGCCAGAGGCAGTGGAAAGCTGAGCACCTGAAACTGAGGCAGCAGAGATGGTGGTTACATAGAGAATGTGAAGCTTAGGGTGAAACTACTGTGGGGTTAGATAGGGGCTGTGGGGCTGGGATAGTAATTGTAAGGCTGGAGCTGGAATATGGGTTCTAGAGCTGAAGCTGAAGGATCAGAGAGCTGAAGCTGAAATGAAGATTCTGCCCTGATCCAGGAGCAGCTTCACACGGCAGCATCAGGTGGAGCAGAAACATCAGAGCTGGTGGAGCTTGTGGGGCTGGAGCTGGAATCACTGTAGGGCTGGGATAGGACTGTGTGTCTGTGATGGTAATTATGGGGTCAGGATAACAACGTTAGGGATGGAGCTGGAATCACTATAAGGAAGGGAAGGGAAGGGAAGGGAAGGGAAGGGAAGGGAAGGGAAGGGAAGGGAAGGGAAGGGAAGGGAAGGGAAGGGAAGGGAAGGGAAGGGAAGGGAAGGGAAGGGAAGGGAAGGGAAGGGAAGGGAAGGGAAGGGAAGGGAAGGGAAGGGCATGCAAATCCCTGCATTACCTTGCTTACTTTTCATAGCCTCTTGTACCCCTCCTCCCTTGCGGCCGTCTCCCATCCATAGCTGGTAGCCGAGAGCTCTATTTCCACCAGATGGCAGCCTGGCTTTGCAGTTGCTGATTTCACCCTCAGCTACTCTTTTCCCTGGACACCCTGCAGGCACAGAAGCGTCATGTGTTGTTGGGCTCGTTGTTTTTCGGGGAAGCCGGTGACCCAGGTAGAGCTCCCCGCTCTCCTCCCCTTTCCTCTCTGGTGGAAGGAACGTCTCTCCATCACAGACGTGGTACCGCGTGAGGCCAATGCGGTGTGAGCATAGCACATGCCACCCCTACCACACAGCAGCCTGTTTTCAGGCAGTCCTGGTGTGATATACCTGCGGTGGCCTTCCTGTGTCACATGTTGTGGTGAACCTGCAGCCGTCTTGACCCTCCCGACCCTCGCTGGGACAGCCTAGAGCTGCCCAGGCAGTATGTAGGGGCAGGATGGCTGCAAATGGCCTCATCAGTCATTTTCTGAGTAGGTTTGGTGGGAAAGAGCTGATCCAAGAGGGTCAGCTGCAGGTCACCACATCAGAGAACTGCTTACTACCTGCCCGGAGGTGTCAAACAGCCACATAACAGAGGCTGGGACCGGCTCCCCGTGACGCACAGCCTCGGCACGCGGGAGCCATAAGCAGGCGGCGTGTCCGAGCCGGTTCTTTTCTCTCCCCCTCCTTCCCGGTGGGTAAATCCCATCAGCCGCCACTCTAAACCACCCCACGCCAGCCCTAATACCGTCTCAGGTACGCCATCATGCTCACATCAGCCAGGGGAGGGATTGACGGTCCTGGGAGAGACAGCCCTGCAAGAGCCGGGGGAACATTGGGCACTGTCCTGGGAATGGGGGCAGGGTGGTGGGAAGAGGCCGCCTGCTGCCCATGTTCTCTGGGGAAAGAGAGGGAATCCAGGCCTGAGCCGAGCTTTGTCCTGGGCTAATTTTAGACCAAGGAGGTAAGAGAAGGGAGGCGGATAGAGGGGCTTAAGGGGTCCCTCTGCCCTGGTGCGGGGCAAGCCGGATCTCCGTCGTCCCTTCAGGGCCTGGTGAGCCGACGGGGTCCTGCTGCTCTCCCCGAGCGCGGGGAGCTCCCGGTCGGTTCCGAGCACGTCTCGCCCCACGGAAGGGAGCAGAGCAGGCAGCGTTGTGGGGTGTACGTGGCGTGTGCATCCCAGCGCCAGTGCAGGGCCCTGCTGTGGGGTGCACCCACCCTGGGGAGGACCCTATCGGTTGAGGGATGTCGGAGAGTGACCATGGAGTGGGGGATTCCCTGCATGAGGATGTGGGGAGACAGCCTGAGTGGGTCATCTATATGTGGGGTTGGCTGCTGTGTGGGAGAACATGCATGTCAGAGGTCAGCCTGGGGGACACAGGCGCACCACATGCGCGGCGTACCTCCGCATTCAGTGGCGACAATTCTCACAGCGGCCCTCTTTCCCTCCATCCCCCTTCCTCCCCCTCTTTCCCCCCGTCCCGCCGCGCCTCCTTAAGTGCCCGCCCCGTCCCGGCCTCCCTCCGCCCCGTCCCGCCCCGTCCCGCCCCGCTCCCCCCAAGTGAGGGAATAAAGTTGCGCACCGGGGCGGGCGGTCCTGGCTGGATCGGAGCGGGGCCGAGGCGGGCGGCGGTGCGGCTCGCCGGCAGGAGTGCCGGGCCATGGCCTCGCAGGAGCTGGCGCAGAAACTGCAGCGGCGGCTGCAGCTGGAGGAGAGCGGGGCAGTGGCGGAGGGCGAGGCAGAGGCGGTCAAGGGCGCGGCGGCGGCCGAGGAGGTGGAAGAGCGGAGCTGCTTGACGGCCAGTGCGGGCGCAGAGCTGAGCGCTAAGCTGTGCCGGCGGCAGGACATAAACGAGGGCGCGGCGCAGCCCCGGCGGGCCGCCGTCTTCAACCCCTACACCGAGTTCAAGGAGTTCAGCCGCCGGCAGATCAAGGACATGGAGCGCATGTTCCGCCTGTGAGTGGGGCGGGAGCGGGGCGGGGGGCTTGCTGCCCGGCCCGTGGGCTCGGGGGCTGGGGCTCTGCTTTCCCCCGCAGTCCCTCCGGCGCCGGCCCCGGGGGTACATCTGGAGAAGGGCTGCCCGCTCTCGGCGGCACGCTCGCATTTCCCCGCGGTTTTGCGGTCGGGCTGGAGGAAGCCGCGGCGCGTTCGCAGCGCCATCTGATCCCCAGATTGTCCCCGTGCTTTGCCGCGGGGGCTCGTAGAGTTTGCCTGGGGCTCAGACCTGCGTTTAACTCATGGCCTCTGCTCTGTCTGGGGTTGGGACGGTGGCTGTTTCTGGTGGCACCCAGGAGCTATGGCTTTGCGGAACGCTCTGGGTGGGACGGGGAGAGAACACAGTCTTCTGCTTCACACCCTGAGGTACCAAGTAGGTCTGTGTCCCGGGGCCCGGCAGAGGCACTGGACATTTGCCCGAAACAACTGCGACCCTGAGCACCCCTGGCACTCCTGCTGGCTCTGCCTGGCAGTGTCCTGTCTGCTGGGCTTGGTGGCTTGGTGCTCCCTCCCGTGCACCCAAGCAAAGGTTGAGTACAGCTTCCTCTTGCTACCCCCTTCGTGGGGGCTGGCATAGGATTCTCCTCCCAGCAGGAAGGTTTGTGTTAAAGTCAAGCTGCTGCCAGCAACAGGGAGAGCTGCTTCTGTAAGCAGAAAGGCTTGGCCTTCCCCGGGACCGTGATCCTGCCCTGTTCTCTCCTCCAGACGCTGTCCTGGCTCCTGCAGTTAGGCTGTGTCTGGGAACCTTTGTCTGCACTCAGTTTTCCCTCCAGCACCACAGACCCGTGGGCTCCTGTGGACCAGTGTCCCCCCAGCCCCACAATAGGCTGCCAGGGAGTGGGAGGGAGCTGCTGCCAGGCAGAAGATGGGACTATAGAGCAAGGTGTGAAGATGTACTTCACCTTATGGAGGTGACTGAAGTGAAATTTGTGACTTGTTGGATCATTGTTCTCCTAACTGAAAGCTTGAGCACCCTGGATTGTTGTGAGGCGATCAAGAGCTGGTTGAATGCTGTCAGCTCCCAGCGCTGCGGGGTGTTGCCTGTCCCAGCCAGGCTGTTGCCACAGGAAACCATGCGATGGCTTTTGTGAGCTTACTGGAGTTTGGAGTTCTTTGTTGCACAGGCAGTGTTGTGTTGGCAGCTGGTGCAGGAAGCGAGGTGGTTCGGGCAGAACTGCTGCTCCACTCTCTCCTGTGTCCCTTTTCACTGTGCTTAAAGGGAATCACACTCTATGGAATGCTGAGACATAGTGCTTGTGAGGACTGGAGGACAAACAATGCAGGCAAGGCCCAAAAGCTGTGCGTGAGAGCCTGGACTGGGCAGTGGCACTGCCTCAATAGGGAATAGGAAAGAAATGGTGGTGGTTTTGGGAAATAAAAAGTGGAAGAGCTGAATTGCAGCCTAATTTTTCAACAATGGACTCATTAAATACTAGCCTTGTAAGCAGGAAAAGCTAGGCTTTGCAGTTGAATGCTAATCAGCTGGTCAATGTAGCTGGAAAG